GAATCCTTATAATTGGTAGAGCATTGTGAGGACAATAGTTAATCTCATTTTCTATTAGCTTGCATAACGGCGTAAAATTTGTGCAGGCTGCGTCTGACAAGCTCTTAGAAACGGAGTTCAAGAATGAAATACTTACCTTGTCAACGATCGAGCATCTGAATTTGGTACGGTTATATGGATATCTGGAGCATGGAGATGAGCGGATTATTGTGGTTGAATACGTTGCAAATGGAACGCTTCGCGAGCATTTGGATGGTAAGTCTTATGAAAACTTAGTTATGAAACTCAATAGGGTTAGTCAGTAGAAGGTAGACGTAAGTGATAAGTTCATCAGGTGGAATATCTACTGAGAAACTGGAAATGTTAACATCAAGTAACAAAAAGAGTTAGATAAAATGAAGGATCATTAGCAGTGTCCTGTTTCCTTTATTCTTCAGTTGAAAAAATTAGCGTTTTAGTTGTCTCGTTGTGTTTTACATGAAGCTCGGAACACCTTTCCCTCCATGGAAGCTCTTTATTTTTCTTCTTTTCTGTGATAATTAGATAATCTGGATACCATCAGAAATAACATAATACTAATCCAGAAATGTGTATAAAAATAGTTCTCTTTTCATGAAGGTACAAATGGAAATGAACTTGAAACCGGAGAACGTTTGGACATTGCTATTGATGTGGCTCATGCAATCACCTATCTTCACATGTATAAAGGTGTGTACATCATTTTCAATCCAAATTACTCGACCGATAAAGATGTTTTCATCTTGCTTCCCATTTAATTTGATTAGGATATTATTATGAAGGCATTTGACAACCTGAAGCGTCTCATGTATTTGACAGATCCTCCGATAATCCACAGAGACATAAAATCTTTAAACATCCTCATCACAGAAAAACTTCGGGCTAAAGTGGCGGACTTTGGGTTTGCACGATCGTCTGCAGACCCAAATGCAACTCACATTTCAACTCAAGTCAAAGGAACGGCAGGATACTTGGACCCCGAGTACCTCAAGACTTATCAACTCACCGTAAAGAGTGATGTTTACTCCTTTGGTGTCTTGCTTGTAGAACTTATGACAGGAAGACGACCCATCGAACCAAAGAAGACAACCAATGAAAGAATTACAACAAGATGGGTAAGAGTATACTCATTTTAAGCATCTTGACATTACTAAACTGACACGAAACTGGAATTTTGTTGGGATGTCTGTTTCTATATGTTGCTTCGCGGTAAAATCTGCCCAGATTTCCACCTTACATGATTAATTAGTCATTGCTCAAGTTTTGTTTTACTCTTAATCTCCCCGATTTATTGTAGTGCCGACATTCATCACATGCTTCTGTTAAACTTTAGACAATCCGTCACTCATGACATATTTCTATAGAGGATAAGGGCAAACCACGAGTCTAGCTCTTGTAACATCCACCTTGTTCCTCGTTGCATTTACATGTGAAACATTCATCAAATGAAACCGCTAAGGTTGCGGTAGATCATTTCATCCTCCTCTTCAGATGTCCTGTTCCCATGTGTTATAGACAAAGATTATGTATTAGAAGTGCTACGAACCAAACATTAGCCTAACCATGTTTACATCTGCAGGCAATCCAAATGTTGAAACGAGGAGACGCGATATTTGTCATGGATCCAAGGCTACGGAGAAACCCGGCATCAACGATGGTTTTGGAGAAAGTCCTTCTGCTAGCTCAGGAATGCCTTGCACCTCTAAGAAATTCAAGACCCTCCATGAAAAAATGTGCTGAAGTGTTATGGGGAATTCGAAAGGACTTTCAAGAAAAATCCCTCCTTTCTTCCTCCTCTGATGTTCATTTTTCTGCGAATTATCCCGTCAGAGATGCAAAGAGGACTCGGCGGACATCGTTTGGGATTCAAGATGATGATTGTCAGAGATTTATTATCTCTGCCTAACTTATAAGAATTTTGAGTGAAATTATTTACGGAAAATTGTTTTCTTCTTCTATCCAAGTGTTTAATTTGTACATCTATGTAAAAAAGAAACATCTTTTTGTATAAAACCCAATATTCAAATATTAAATTTCAATGGCAACCAGATTATATTACGAACCGAAGTTGGCGTCTAGCTAGCAATTAATGTCAGATAAATTAACTTTTTAAAGTTAAATTTGTAAATTATATGACGTGTTATCAATAAAAATAAGCACATTAATCATGTAAAACCACTTTTTATGCTTCCAAAATCTTTGGAGAAATTTTGGAAAAAGCACTTCACATAAAACAGTGTTGTATTGTATGTCACATCCCGGGCTCGACTCCGCCATAACACGATATTGTCCGCTTTTGGTCCTGACCACGCCCTCATGGTTTTGTTTATGGGAACTCACACGAGAACTTCCCAGTGGGTCACCAATCCTGGGAATGCTCTCGCCTGAACTCGCTTAACTTCAGAGTTCCGATGGTATTGTATGTCACATCCCGGGCTCGACTCCGCCATAGCATGATATTGTCTGCCTTGGGCCCCGATCACGTCCTCACGGTTTTGTTTCTGGGAACTCACACGAGAACTTCCCAGTGCCATTCTAGGAATGCTCTCGCCTGAACTTGCTTAACTTCAGAGTTCTGATGGAACCCGAAACCAGTGAGCTCCTAAAAAGCCTCGTGTTATATGAAGGTGGGCATGTACATAGAAAGCATAGAGGATCCACTCCCCTAGGCGATGTGGGATCTAACAATCCACCCCCTTAGGAGCTCGACGTCATAGTCGGCACACTTCCGATCATGGATTGGCTTTGATACCAAATTGTCACATCCCGACCCAGGTTCCATCACATCCCGGGCTCAACTCTGCCGTAGCACGATATTGTCCGCTTTGGGCCCCGATCATGCCCTCACTGTTTTGTTTCTAAAAACTCATGCGAGCAGAACTTCCCAGTGGGTCATCCATCTCGGGAATGTTCTAGCTTTTTTTCTCGCTTAATTTCAGAGTTCCTACAAAACCTGAAGCCAGTGAGCTCCCAAAAGGCCTCGTCATACGGTGGAGTCGAGCCCGGGATGTGGTGGTGGCCCGAGTCTGCATGTGACAATTTGGTATCATAGCCAATCCCTAGCCGGATGTGTGTCGATGAGGACGTCGGACCCCTAAAGAGGGTGGATTGTAACATCCCACATCGCCCAGGAGAATGGATCATGTAAGCCTTAAATGTATGAAATTGAAATGTTTTAAACATGTTGTAAGGAATTGAAATTGACCCCAAATTTGATTGGGAAAAATGTAATTTACCCTTATTTTTTTCGCCTACATCAGATCATTATTCCATCATAATAAAACCATATAACAGTGAAATAATAAAGGGTAAATTACATTTTTACCCTCTCATGTTTGGGGTATATTTCAATTTCATACATCCGTTAGAAAATCTATTAAGTAAACAGTTAAGTGATGACGTGGTAAATATGGGATCCATATTTGTGCTGACGTGGCAACCAAATTTGTATCACATGGCAAAAAATAATTTTTATGCATTTAAAATAATTAATTAAAGAAAAGTTAAAAAAAAAGAGAAAAAAATAGCCAAATCAAACCCAAAAACCATCCATTCCCCTTCCCCGCAACCCTTATTCCTCTCCTCCACTCTTTTCACCTTCCCCAACCGATCTTTTCCCTTTTCTCACTTTCTCAACGCCCTCGCTGCCTTAATCACCACAATTCTCACGTTGCTTAACACCTCCTCGATGACAACATCGAACTCCGTCTTTTCCTCCACGACGGCGGGGCCTCGCCCGCTCCTAGCGCAATGGCCACGGTGGCGGCTGGAGTGAGGGCAGCAATGGAGACGTCAAGCTTGTCCTGGAGGTCGTCAACGAGGATGCTGGCTTCCTCGAGGGTGAGGCTGGAGATGTCGGTGACAAGCTTTTCGATCTTTTTTGGGGCTTTGACGGCGGCGAGGGGGCGGATATGGGTGGCGCGGTGGGTGAGGGTAAGGGTTGGGGGGTTAAAGGGGAATTGGAGAGTGGGTTTGGTGGAGTGGGAGAGAAAGGAGGAGAGGGGTGAGAGGTTGTAGGGAATGGATGGGTTTTTCTAGGTTTGATTTGGTTTTTTTTTATTTTTATTTTTTATAACTTTTCTTTAAATAATTATTTTTAAATGCATAAAAAATTGCCACATGACACAAATTTGGCAGCCACATCAGCACAAATGTGGATCCCGTATTTGTCATGTCATCACTTAACGGATTTTCTAACAGATATATGAAATTGAAATAAAATGATAAGTAAATGTATGAAATTGAAGTGTTTTAAAGATATTATAAGAAATTGAAATCGACCCCAAACCTGAGAGGATAAAATGTAATTTACCCAATAATAAAATAGTGAAACTGTACTATTTTCTCGTTTTATCTTCTTGACTCTCTTTGTCATCTTGCAATTAAGAAAGTCAATTGCAACCTTATATTTAAATAGAAAAAAATAGTGTGCATCATTTTTCATACATAAACTCATTTGAAAATATTTTTAAAATGCCTGAATTTTTTTTTGATGAAAATGTTTTTTGAATTTATTCTTAGTAAAAATGCAAATAAACATAGAAATACACTTGAAGTGCTTCGGACAAGAAGCACTATTTTTATGTGCTTCTTGCAAGAAATACTTCAAGTATTTTTGAAATCCAATTTTTTTTTTTTTCAAAAACTCTTTCATTTTAAAAACATTTTCAAACAAGCTTATAAATGCAAAAGATGTTGCTTTGCTCATTAACATGCAAAGAATCTCACATTACATCAAATACGTTCGCATGAACGATTGTCACTAGCATAGCTTAACTTTGTTGAGCTCTGTCCCTAATCTCATGGAAGAATTCTTATATGCACACGTGATCCAAGGCACCTTGGATCAAATGAAGCCACGTGGCGTCCCTAACTCAAGTATAGGAAGGGCAAAAGAAAACATGAAAATCTGATCTCCAATTGAAGCAAAGCTTGTCATGTGACTGTGCACCTCTCACTCGCTCCCACACACACACACAAACCCCGCCCTCTTTTGGCTCCATTTTCATGTGACGGTTCACGTTCGCTTCACTCCACCAAAACAAATCACGAAAAAGAAAGCAAAATATACGAAAATTTAGAACCTCCCTCCTACCATCTTCTTCTTCTTCTCCTTCTCCTTCCTCCTCTCTCTCTCTCCTCTCTCTCTCTCTCTCTCTCTCTCTCTCTGATATTTTTAGTTCACCTCCAAAACACACACACACACACTCTCTCTCTCTCTCTCTCACTTTTGGCCTTTATACGAAAATATCTCCTCCCCCACACTCAGATTCTCTTTTAAATTCCTTTATGCTAATATTTTCAGCTGATCATTTCATCACTCTTAAGAACCTCACACTCTCACAAACCAAAAACGCACTTCAAAGATGTAATCTTTTCTCTCTCCCTCTTTTGGGTTTTGTTTTTCTCATCAATTCTCTTCTGGGTTTCTGTTTACGGTTTCAGTTCGACATTAATTTGGTAATTTTGCTTTGATTTTTCAGATACTATTGAGGATTGAGAAGCTGCTGGAAGCTCAGCCATGGCGCCTACTGCGAAATCGAACGGGAAAACCATCACAGACTCCGCCATTTCGTCCAAGATTCCGGCAACCGCAAACCCTTTAGCCGAAGAGCCGTCGCAGATTGCTTCCAACATCAATTACCACGCCAAATTCAGCCCCCACTTCTCGCCGTTCAAGTTCGAGCCGGAGCAAGCCTACTACGCCACCGCCGACAGCGTCCGCGATCGCCTGATCCAAGTACTGTACCGCCGTTTCTCAGCCTCCGGGTTCGATCTTGGTCGATTTCCATTTTTTTAATTTTGTTTGGTTTTCCTTTTTTGTAGCAATGGAACGAGACGTACCTGCATTTCCACAAGGAGAATCCCAAGCAGACTTACTACTTGTCCATGGAGTATCTTCAAGGACGAGCCTTGACCAATGCGATTGGGAATTTGAATGTTCAGAGTGCTTATGCTGATGCTTTGAACAAGTTGGGGCATCAGCTGGAGGAAATAACAGAGCAGGTAATCTCCGAAAAATACGGTTTTCGTTCAATTATATTGTAAAGATTGAGTTTTTGTTCTTTCACATAATTAGAATTTGTGCGTGTACTTTTAGGGGCTGTATTCAACTGAGAATTTGAGAGATTTTAATGAATTTATAAATCTATGGATTTTTATGGAGTTTAATTGATTTGTTGATATTCCATATAAAATTTTGATTCAATTCCCTCGAAATCTCATGGGGATAGGTGAGGTTTGTGAATGCTTAAAATACATTACGAAATCTCTCCAATGCCCTCTAATTCCTCAACCTTTCTCAAATTCTTTAAAATCAATTTCTAATTGAATGCACCTGCAATGTTATAAACGTCTTTAAAATCCTAATTGAATACATCCGGATTTCTAAGAATTTTAATAAACTATCTTAAAATTCTAATTGAATACACCTTGAATTTCAGATAATCACTTAAAATCCTGATTGAAAATAATTAAAATCCCTCAAAATTCTAATTTAATATAGTGTCGTTGAAATGAATTATAATTGTTACCTCAGGAGGTTGTTAATCATTTGAAATGGATTCTTAATTGGATTTCGTCACATGAATTCGACGTGCAATCTGTTGATGGATGATTGGTAGAAATGAATCTTTGTAGGAGAAAGATGCGGCACTTGGAAATGGTGGGCTGGGAAGGCTTGCTTCGTGCTTTCTAGACTCCATGGCAACATTGAATTTGCCTGCATGGGGGTATGGTTTGAGGTACAGGTACGGGCTGTTCAAGCAGCGGATTGCCGAGGATGGCCAGGAAGAAACTGCTGAGGATTGGCTAGAGGTTCTGTATCACCTCAAGTTCTGTAAAATTTTATGTTTTTCATGAGTTCTTACTGATATGTTTTTCGATGGAATTTGTGCAGAAATTTAGTCCTTGGGAAGTTGTCAGGCATGATGTTATGTACCCTGTCAGATTTTTTGGCCGTGTTCATGTCAATCCTGATGGATCGTAAGTGTCAATACTGATAACAGAATAGATTATTACACTTTTCTAAAACAAAAAAATTATTTATCAATTATCAATGTCATAAATTCACGTGCAACTTGGTTGGTGGCTTGAAATATAACTACACTAACTCAGCAATTATTCTTGTGATTGTATTATAGCCGAAAGTGGGTTGAGGGAGAGGTTTTGCAAGCTCTGGCTTATGATGTGCCAATTCCAGGATACAAAACCAAGAACACTATTAGTCTCCGTCTATGGGAAGCCAAAGCATCTGCTGAGGATTTTAACCTATTTCAGTTTAATGATGGACAGTATGAATCTGCTGCGCAGCTTCATTCTCGAGCGCAACAGGTTGGTTATTTATATCCTAATGGCAAGTTAGTCTTGGAACCACTTGCCAGTATTTCAAATCTTCCATAGACATTCAATCAAAAGCCTTTTAAGTTTACTATATCTAGATGTGTATTTGTATTACTGTGTGTGTGTGTGTGTGTGTGTATACACACACATAATACTAAGCTAAGTCTTTTTCTATAACTACTGTTCTCCCTTTCAATAATGTGTGGCACTACGTCTTCATGTTTTAAATGTTTTCTTGAACCACATTGTGATATGTGTTTTTTGCAGATTTGTGCTGTTCTATATCCTGGAGATGCCACAGAGGAGGGGAAACTTTTAAGGCTGAAGCAACAATTTTTCCTCTGCAGTGCATCACTTCAGGTTGGTTAATTATCATCTTATCCTTCATTGTTTTGTTGGTGTAAGTATCACCATTATTTTATTTCTTTCATTTGCTGTTTCAGATGACCTTTTAATTTCCACATGTCATTAGAGAAGGTCAAAAGAATCTCACACCTTTAGAAAAAAGTTTTCACATTGACATTTTCCCTCAAAGTGATGCTTGGGTTTAGCATTTCCAATTTTTATCTTCAATATGCAAAAATACATATCCAGTCTTGTCATAAAGAGGCATTTTCAGTTGCTAATTAGTGATCTCGATCCTGTTAAGATGTTGTGATCCTCAATTTATAATCTTGAAATTACAGGACATTATTTTTAGATTCAAGGAGAGGAAACAGGGGACAGACACATTGCATTGGTCAGAGTTCCCAAAAAAGGTTGCTGTCCAAATGAACGATACTCATCCTACACTGGCAATTCCGGAGCTGATGCGACTGCTATTGGATGAGGAAGGTCTTGGGTGGGATGAGGCATGGGAAGTGACAACAAGGTCAATTATATTTCATGTTGTTTTTAGGATTTCTTCCTGAAGTTGGCACACATTCTTCTTTCTTCTATGGCTACTCAGCTTGTTTGTAGTGCTTTTTGCACAAGGAGCTATAAAGTACTAACACATAATAATTGAACCAGGACGGTTGCTTATACTAATCACACAGTCCTTCCTGAAGCACTTGAGAAATGGTCACAAGCCGTAATGTGGAAGCTTCTCCCTCGCCATATGCAAATAATAGAAGAAATTGACAAAAGAGTAATATTTCTCACCTTTTTTATTTGTTCTGTTTATACTAAAGTTGTTATCTTCTAATGTACATTATTGCATCCTGGCAGTTCATTGCTATGGTACGTGCTACACGAAGTGATCTTGAGAGCAAAATTCCCAGCTTGTGCGTCTTGGATAACAATCCCCAAAAGCCTGTAGTGCGAATGGCAAATTTATGTGTGGTGTCTGCACATACGGTAAGACATCTATTTGGGGAAATTTACAAGCATCTCCTATAGCTTATTTTGAGCTGTCTTCAACGTAAACATACGGTAACCTGATATGGTTATTAGAAATCTTCCAGCTTCCTTCAATAAACTATTATGAAAGGCAACTTATTCCGTTTTCCCCAAAGAAAAAGGGGTTAGGAGGGCAAGCAAGTGATTGTATGCAATAGTGAATACAGAGTCTAAGACTGTAAGGTACAGTCCACCGTGTACGTTGGTGAGACTTGAACTCAAGCTTTGAACGAGAAGCAAGTTCTTCCCAGGAAGACACCCAATGGCAGTCTTACATAAGTGCATATTTTGACTATTCTATTTTATCTCTGAGTCCTATCTTTATTAGTAATATTTAACGACGCTTGAATATATATATGTTCTGCTTTCCTTTTCTTTTTCCCTCCCACAATATAAGAACCCCTTATTTCCACATTTGAGCTGTTGAGTGTTGACTTCGAGAATCTCATTGCTTTCAGTGTCATTGTAGGTTAATGGTGTTGCCCAATTGCACAGTGATATTTTAAAAAATGAGTTATTTGTAGACTATGTCTCTATATGGCCAACAAAGTTCCAAAACAAAACCAATGGGATTACTCCTCGCCGGTGGCTTCGGTTTTGCAGTCCTGAGCTCAGTAATATAATCACCAAATGGTTAAAAACGGATGAATGGGTGACCAACCTGGACCTACTTGTAGGTCTTCGAAAGGTATGCATCTCACATATTATGGAATTGTTTGTCCTTGTCAGATCGTTCCTGCAGTTGAAATATTAAAAGTCAGTATGTTTACTCCAACAGTTTGCTGATGATTCAAAATTACAAGAAGAATGGGCGTCTGCCAAGATGGCCAATAAGAAGCGTTTGGTGCAGTACATAGAGCATGTGGCAGGTGTCAAGATTGACCCAAACACTCTATTTGACATACAAGTGAAGCGTATCCATGAATATAAGAGACAGTTGCTGAATATTCTGGGCGCAGTTTATCGGTACAAGAAGTTAAAGGTATAAAAGGCTTCTCCTTGTTACTTGACTATATAGTTATATGAAACAATCAACATTGCTTAGTGATACTACCCATTATATGAACCTTCATGCTCTTTGAACTTGGATTTCTGTGTACATCTCTTTCAATTTGTTCGTAATGGTGTTGCACCCGCTAAGTACATCAAATAAATAATTTTTCAATCAATTTCTTTCTGCTTTTGGTTGTTATTCTCGAGCCTTAAAATTATAATTTGCAAGCAGTGTTCAACGGATTTCTTTTTTAAGGTTATATATCGTTTTTTCAAGTTTATGCATGATTTTGAGAACTTGCTTGGAACTGAACTGTGGCAGGAGATGAGCCCTGAAGATCGGAAGAAGACAACTCCACGCACTATCATGATTGGAGGAAAAGCATTTGCAACATATACAAATGCAAAAAGAATAGTCAAGCTGGTAGATGATGTCGGTGCTGTGGTCAACAATGATCCTGATATCAATAGTTACTTGAAGGTTAGTGAATATTTTTCAAGCGTGCTTGCTTCAATTGGTTGATTCTGGCCTAATAACCATTAATGTTCAGGTTGTATTTGTTCCAAACTACAATGTATCTGTGGCCGAGATACTTATCCCAGGAAGTGAGCTGTCACAACATATCAGTACTGCAGGCATGGAGGCAAGTGGCACGAGCAACATGAAATTTGCTCTGAACGGCTGCCTCATAATCGGCACACTGGATGGGGCTAATGTGGAAATCCGTGAGGAAATTGGGGATGACAACTTTTTTCTCTTTGGTGCAACAGCTGATGAAGTCCCTAAGCTGCGCAAGGACAGAGAGAACGGCCTGGTATGAGGCTTCATTTTCTCTTTATTATATGTGTCACTTAGATCAATGCAAGTAGTATGAAAGCTCTGCATTCAATGTTCGTAAAGGTAGATGGCTTCTTATCGTCGTTACAAAATGGTATTGAATCATGAAGCTTTTCGGGAGAACTTGCCAAAGCCTGAGCAATATTAGTTCTAAGTTGGAGCAACAGGCTATCAGGATTTCAATAAAAAGACTAGTTATAATAAGTTTCTAAATCTATGGATACCAAATAGTTCGATGACTGTTAATTATCTATTCAAGGTATCCAATATAATAGTTATTAGATCTCCCAGAAAGGGGTTCCTTAAACTAATCAATGATGTGAATTTCTTACAAGTCTTTCTTATATGACTTTTTTCTCTTCTTGTAAATCATGCAGTTCAAACCCGATCCTCGGTTTGAAGAAGCCAAGCAGTTTGTTAGGAGTGGAGCATTTGGGAGCTACGATTACAATCCACTTCTTGACTCTCTGGAGGGGAACACTGGTTATGGTCGTGGTGATTATTTTCTTGTTGGCCATGACTTTGCACAGTATGTGGATGCTCAGGCAAAAGTAGATGAAGCTTACAAGTAAGATGTCAAACCTTCTAACCTTTACAATATAGATTTCTTGAATTGCAAGTATCTACTCCGACTAGAAAAAGAAAATCTGCAACATTTAACCTTGTGTTGACCGTTGTCATGAATCTCGCTGCTTGAAATACTTGAGTCCATCGCCACAATATAACTACTTCCACCTTTGACACGAGGTGCCATTTTTCACCTGCAGGGATAGGAAAAGGTGGCTGAAGATGTCCATACTAAGCACTGCAGGGTCTGGCAAGTTCAGCAGCGACCGGACAATTGCTCAGTACGCCAAGGAAATCTGGAACATAGAGGAGTGCCGCGTACCATAGATCCCTTCACGGTGCTGGTTCTGATGCTTATTTGAATGTTATAACCATGCCACGAAAAGCTTAAGGTAAAGAATAAAAGAAGCCAACAGAAGTAGCAACTGCCGTTATATGTTCCATTTTATTTCTTCACTTTTTTTTTCAATTATATGCTTCCTTCAAGAATTATTTTGGAGCTTGTGCTTCTCTATTTGTATTTTATTATGCTAACAGAAGTTACAAATAAGAAAATAAATCAATTACGCAATAAGGTGTTGGCAACGAGCAGGTAAATACCTACCATACTGTGTTTGTATTATTGTGCATGCACTCTAACTTAACTAGGTACCCTTGTTCTTCTGCAGACGTTTATTTTTGTACCTCGATCGATCCAAAAAAATTAACCAATGAAGTGCAGGAAGAGAAAGAATGCGTTTGGGAATTGTTTTCGCTATGATTGTATCACTGATATAATTATTTGGTCCATTTATGATTACTTAACAATGTAACTAGTGACCTCAAAAGCTTCTATTTTCGGTTGGAAAGCATTTCCCAACATGCTCATAGTTTTGGTGTATTTTAGTTTGAAAACTTCGTCGATTACTATGAAAGGGAAATATCATTGCTCCATTTGGTTGTTTTGGATCTAGACTTGTATTTGGCTGCCAAAACAGATTATATCAGTACTGCATAAACCGAGTGAGTTTTGTCAACTCTGTCACAAAGACCGGCCCGAGACTGCGTCATGTGAGGGAGTTGAGACGAGTTTGAGCAACTCTTGAAGCTCGTTATTGGTTGGATTTCGTAACTCACAAGATTCTCAAACTTCTGCATTAACAAAATCTAAAAGAAGCGTCCATTTCCCTGTTCCCAATTCAGTAAGTTATCAAATCAAATTCAATCATAGACACCAACCGAGTGCTTGGCATCTTGCGCCCGAATGAGGTTACATGAATTCATGTGACAGTTAGTTTCCTATCTATCTTTGTGGCAAGGTCTTAGCCGCAAGATCATGATTCGCGATCGGCCAAATGTAGATTTCTACAGACGATCAAACCAAACACTGGAAACCGAACAGTAGAACTAAAATGACAAACTGACCAACATCACAATACTTTACCGCTAGATATGCAAAGTAACATCCTTCACGAGGAAGGTGAAGTAGACCTAGGGCTAGGAGATCGTGACATAAATCTGGAACTTGTTGCTCGAGTAGCTCCGCTTGGAGGAACCCCCCCTGTGAGACCTTGAGCTCCTGCGTCTGCGAGATCTGCTTCGAGAGTACCTCCTCCTTGACCGCCTCTTCACCGGTTCAGGTGATACACTAGGGGAATAACTCCTCCTGGAGGTCCTCCTAGGCCTGGGCGAAAGACCGGGGGTGTAACTCCTCCTCCTATGCCTGGGCGAAACACTAGGTGAATAGCTCCTCCTGTAACTGCTAGCTCCCACGCGTGGGAGAGGCACTGGGAGTGTAGCTCCTCCTACCCCTAGGAGATACAGAACGATAGCCATGCCTCCTACCATAGTAAGAGTTTATCTGGTGAATGTATAGTCCATGTAGCAGTGTCTCCTTCCATAGTAAAAGTCGTCTTGTGAATCTCCCCGGAGTCATACGGTGAGTAGTCCCGATCATGCCGTCTCACTGGTGACCTGCTGTAGGGGGAGCGAGACGGAGAGTAAGATCTACGCCGATTGTACTCAGGAGAGTATGACCTCCTTCTACGGTAGGGCGGAGAGTACGCCCTGCTCCTGCTTCTGTCAGATGAATGGGGCGACCGGCTACAGCTCCTCCGATAAGGAGAGTAGGTAGGAGATCGACGAGGAGGGGAGTAGATTGGGGATGTGGTGGGCCTAAAAATCAAGGGGCGTGGTTCAAATGCCGAACCTCAAAATTTCTCGTTAAAGTGGCAGTGTTCCTTCCATGCAGATATATACAAATTTATCAAAAATTAGAAATAATACATTTATCTTATATAAAACCATGACCATAAAGTCATAATATTTTGAACCAATCATGTGATGTTACTAGAAAAATAAAAAACACTAAGGCTATGTTGGTATGTTTCAAGAGTTAGGATATTGGCTCATTAAAGTAGTACATGATTTCAGTTCAGAACGTCATAAGATAGTTCGATCTATACTGGCATGCCACGATGGTGTAGATCTTTTTGTTTGGGCTTGAAGAACAAACAGTTGGGTTTAAATAGATTAGATATGGAAAGTATGGTAAATTACATAATTATTTTTTGAACAAATGATATTATTTATACAAAATGTAAGGATAAACTTAACGTTATAATAAGCTAACAATAATGTAATTCAAATTTATTTTTGACGAAATCAAACTTAAAATTTCTTAATTATAAATTACGTAATTAAAAATTACGCACAACGAAATCAAATTAAATTATAATAAAACTAAAAAAAATTAAAACCTCTGGATTAATAACTGGTATTCCCCGACTGGTAATCCGAGTTGATAGCAAGGGCAGTGAAGCAGTGACAACGACGGCACTTCTTTCCACAACCCATCAAACAAAACCCGCGAAAATCAAACACTCGGAATCGGAATAAAAAACCAAGGGTGTTCGAAAGGTTTCTGAACCCCTGAAACGCTCCAACCCTGGAGCCCGAAAAATGGATCCCGTAGAAGCCGCGAACGGGCTCTCGTTCCGGGTCGGGTTCTCCGGCCACAGTGGCCACCTCCGGCTCGAGCCCCTCTCCACTGTCGAGAGCTCCGACCCCGTCAAGTCTCTCCCTGATTTCATTCTGGTCGGTTCTCTCTTTCCACTTCGCAATTCCGCTGCAAATTTTCTTAATTTGGATTCTAGGGTTTGGCTTCGAAATTTGAAAGCTTGAATGCTTCATTGGCAAGCAAACGAGATTGGTTTCGAAATTGCTAAACATGAGTGTGACTCGTAATTCAAGTATTAATGTTTGCATTGTTATGTATGTATCAGCCGCCTGCATTTCCTAGGGAGACGCCCGAATCAATAAAAGAGTATATAGAGGAGAAGTATCTTTCGCCAAGATTGGACGACGAAGTATTTGCACCCGAAAAAGTTGGGAGGCAGTGGGATTTCGACTGGTTTGATAAGGCAAATGTACCCTTGGAGCCAACACTGCCGCGCTGCGTTGTGGTTCCCACGTGGGAATTGCCGTTTCGGCGCCAGAAGAGTGGGTCGGCCGAATGTCAATGGGAACCTAAATCCGTGGAGGTATGTGGTTCACTCAGTGTTTGTGTTTGCCCACACATGTCGATTAGCTTAGCAAGTGAAGTCAAAAGCACAATGAGGTGATATGATTCTTTTATTGTTCTAGATGCTATTAGAATATAGATCACCAGTAGTTTTTGTTCTTTAGGGATTTTTGCGTATTTTAGTGCTACATTTGTTACCATTGTGTTTCTAAGTGTGTCCCAGAGTTTTCTTTTATATTGGTTTAGGTGGATGTCTCAGAACTTATAGTAGGAGCTCAAGAGTCTGGTTCATTGCCACGTTTGGCTGGACCAGCGAAGGATTTTGTACGGGGAAGCATCAACAACCGCCCTTTTCGTCCGGGAGGCTTGGATGATTCCCAATCTCTAGAAAGAGTTCTTCCTGATGGTGCTTCTAATGGCGAATGGGTACACGAACTTCTTGTTGGTGGCTCTCCTCAGGCTGTACCTCCAAGCTTTAAGCAAGGAATGGACCTTGGTGATCTGAAGGTTAATTTAATTGTCATCTAGATTGAAAGTTGTAAAAATATATATTATACAAAACATAATATTGATGGAAAAGCTTTTTTGGAAGGCCTATCCATGCTCGTGGAATGTATATAAGGATCAAAGTTCCCTGGAGAGCACATCAGATGAAAAACTGGTCAGTTTTGCTTCTCTCTCTCTCTCTTTCTCTCTACTGAGTCATAGTTTAAAAACTCAGTGGTTCTTCCTATAGTTTTTATACTTCTATCCTGTATGTATAATAATTGTCTCTTATCTTAAGTTGACAAATGTTTTGTTTTTATTTGTATGTGTTGCTAGTCTTTGCAGAGTGGGTTGTCTGTACAGTTTGATGACCTGTTCAAGAAAGCTTGGGAAGAGGATGTTGTTGAATTTGAAGGAGATGGTATGTATAAACTGCTAACTGGATACAATTTGTTTATAGCTTTTATAGTTTTATGGAATAAGAGCTGTAACTTAATTCACTGGGCCTTGATGCGTAGGCTTATAAAATTGGGGCAGTCATAGATCAGATTTAGAATATGTCTGCTTTCAAATCAGCTGCAGATAACTTGGCTCTATTAGGTTGAGATTGCTTTGATGTTTATTCTCGACTAAGCATTGAAAGTAGATTTATGCAGAACTATGATACATTCCAAGGTCATGTATCCACATTGGATTTCAGCTTCTAATAGTTGCAGGGTTAATAAACCATGCATCTATAATAATTAATAAAGTGAAAAGTTAACTCTTTTGCCCCCTGCCTATCAAACATTAACTAGGTTTATGGATTATGTTGGATGAATAAATGTGTAATAGGGATGAGAGCCCACATTGTTGTCAACTATTCACTGAGTAACTTTGAACAAATGACAAAATTACTGTGAGCTGTCTCTCCGAGTCTTTAGTGTTTTGCTTTCACTATTTTTGGGCTAATCTGGATGCCATCCACAAAGGTCAATTGTCAGGATCAGAATCTGTTAAGTCAGAGGATGAAGCAAAGGAGGTTGATGTTGCCATCGATACTTCTGAGCCTGAATTGTCTTTGTTGGATGAGATTTTGTCAGTTGCGGCAGGAGAATCAAAGTCAAGATCTAATGGAATTGGTGAAGATGGTGAACAAAATCCGAAGAAGGTATTTATTTGTGAAGTAACTGTTTACAGAAACTTTCTAATATTTGCGCATGTCATGTTTCGTGCTTTTAACTGAATTTTGCTCACTGCTGTATATTTATTTTTTAACTAGTTCGCCATTGGCAGGCTTGGGCTATTAGTGGAGGTACTGAATATATTGCAGAGAACTTTCATGATCTTGTTCCCGACAAAGCACTTGATTTTCCGTTTGAATTGGACAAATTCCAGAAGGAGGTATCGGTCAATCCAAACTCTCTTCTACTATGTTTCCATTAGAAGATTGATTTCTTTTTAGTTACTAAGCTTGGTTTTCCTTGGCTTGTAGTTGAGTTTGTATCCCTTTAACTAATATAATTTAATTATATGATGAAAAAAATTAAGATCAGTAGTTGATTTATGCACATACATAGTACACTCTCAATCATTTTCAAGAGTGGGATGTTGCTGATGTCCCACATACATTGTTTGTGTTGACTACATAACAAAGTCAACATGGTTAAGTACATTGTACAGTGATGTCATGCAGAGAACAGGGCTAGATATATGTTGTTGTTGGGTGAGTTATACTTTTAGCGCTCTTGAGAAGGTTAAAAGCTTAATAGTTGTGTTGTGTAGCTACTTAATTTATTATCCAACTTGTAACGCAAATTCTCATGTTGAAACAGTCATTATACTTTTCATGTGACAGTAAATTGCAGGATTCGTGGACAAAAAAAATTACACTTAGAAATTTTTAGTGTAATTTATTCGACTTTCCTCCTTTTCTCTCACTATTATAGATTACAAATTATTTAACATTTGTTATCTTTAGGATT